GAGAACTTTTTCAAAAACAAACTCACTCTTCCCACTTGTTTTATGATCTTGAGCAGGTTCCCAACCTCTCTACTAACCCCCTGATTTTCCTCAGCAGTTACTTTAAATGAGAACAGCAGCTGCCTCGTAGAGTCGTGAGAATCAGACAGTGAATAGAAAGCTTTGAGCACCGTGCCTGGCACATAATGGGTACTCTGTAAATTGGAGTTGCTGTTGTTAAGGTCTTAGAGTATTCTAGGGGAGCCGCACTGGAGAAATCATAAGTTGTTTTCACGAACACACTTGTATGGAATCATTGTATTAACAACTTCACACCTTAAAATTTGAAATGCTTAGCCACTGTATCATCTGTTACTGTCCTCTATTGTTTGGTAAAGAAGTGGTTTAATACTTGGTGAAACATTTGATCAGAAGCAACAAGTTAAGGGCACCTGCGTGGCTCACTGGATTGAGCCTCTGCTTTCGGCTCCGGTTGTGATCTCAGAGTCCTGGGATCAAGCCCCGCATTGGGCTCTCTGCCCGGTGGGGAGCCTGTTTCTCCCTCTCTCTCTGCCTGCTGCTCTGCCTGTTTGTGATCTCTCTCTCTGTCAAATTAATAAATAAAATCTTAAAAAAAAAAAAAAGTTAAGAAATTCCTGCAAAAATTAAAAAATGATGCCAGGTTATTAAGCAGAGTTCTAGAAGTCAGCAGGATGGGGCTATATACTGCCTTTCTTTCATATATTATCTGGGAACAAACTTGAAAGGGGTATTTCTTTGAACCCTTAGAGATTGATATGCATTTATAATAAATTCCCAGATCAGCAGTTTTATTTTTAACTAGACCTTGACAATCAAACACTGTCCATTGTCAGCAGATAAATATGTAGAGGTTACGTGATTTGTGTAAGGTCACTTGACCTTCAGTTGGTCATTGAAAGAGAAGAACTCAGGCCATTGATTCTGATCTATGGTCCCTGAATGATTCACTCTGACTCTGCTTTACGGGTTAACATATCAAGCACAGTGTTACAGATCTTTCCCTTGCCAGATTTAATATGGACTTATTTCCGTTTTTGGTAAAGGAAAACTTTTTATTTTGCTTATTTATGTATCTTTTGGGATCATATATTGATAATAAAAAAAGTTCCTCAAAAAAAAATGACCTTTATTAGTTAAGAACGTTTAGCTATAGTAGAAGATTCTCTGAATTTAAAAACAAAATTGAAGTGGTGATTTGCTAACCAACCAATACTTCTTTATTTAGGCTGCAGTACTTTGCACGGGGACTGCAGGTTTATATCCGACAACTTCGCTTGGCTCTGCAGGGTAAAACAGGCGAAGCCTTAAAAACAGAAGAGGTAAGAATACTGGGTCACATCTTGTAAGGAAATTTTTTATAATAGCCAACATGTACTGCAAATTCAGTCTCAATTCATATGTCGAAATGTAACATTTGACTTCATTTGAACTGGTAATACAAGTCTGTGTTGAAGATACAATATGATGTTAGAAGATTGCCTAGTTATTTGCTAAGTTATATTTTTATCCTCGTTGAAATATTTCGAATATGTCCAAGTTTGTGAGCAGTGTTACAAACTTAGATACATACCAGTCTTTCACTAGGGTCTCATTAGCACATTTTGTTCCAATATTTGATTGACGATGTGATATTTTAATTTTTACCTTTTGGAAAAATAGCAATTTACATTGAAAAAAGGATTAAATTGCCAATTCTAAACCAAACTGTATGTGTGTTTGTGTTGGGATTTTTGGATTTCTCTCATCTCAGCTATTGTGATCAATCTTCATCACACTTCTCATGAAATATTTTAAGTTTTCATTATGTCTTCCTATAACTTAAGCTAATGAGTTTTAAAATAACTCATATATACGTAAGACCAGTCTTTGACTCATTTTTTCAGATAAGTGGTAGATAACACTTTAATATTCTAACCTGTCAAGAGAACATAAAGATTACTTGCTTTCTTTGCCATTTCTACACTGGTTTAGAGTCAAGAAGTGGGAATAAGCAGAAAGGACTCTGAAAGAAAAATATAATTATTCCAGTTCTCTATGGGAATGGGATATGCATCATAAAAGTTATTGGCACTTTTTGTTTTCCTTTTGCAGAACAAGATTAAAGTTGTTGCACTGAAAATAACAAATAATATTAATGTTTTAATCAAGGTAAGTGTTCTTTCTTACCCAGTCCTTCCAGCTAGCTAGAAAGTGTGCAAGAGGTTATCCATGTGTCTTTAGATCTGTAATGATACCATTGTACTCCAGGCATTAGGCCTTTTAAGGCTTTATGCTTTCTATAATACCAAGTGCCATTTCTGTAGCTATCATAAAGTCATACATTGTTTTACTTATTTAAAAGTTATTGCAGAAGATACTGCAGTCAAAGGGAGGCATGCAGATTTTCTCTGACCCAAAGCATTGGAACAAATACATTTAGACTCAGAAATTTCACTGACTTAAGTTCTCCTGGTCTATTGGGTCCTTTCAAATGGCCAGTAAAACCCCACTTTGCTTACATTAAGGATGAACAAGCCTGTGTGGCCCTTGAAATGTTTCCCTATAGTCTCTTCTGTTAACTTGTCTATATAATAAATTTAGAGCTTTCTGTACTGTAGGCTAAGGTGTACCTTACCATCAAACCATAAATACACTCCAGTTCTCTTTACCCTCCCCAGGTAAACATTAATCTGAACAGAAGACAATCTGAGAGGGGAAAAACAAAAAGAATCACAACAAAGTAACCATCACCTGTTTCTATAAGTCAACAGTATTGTAGCCAGGTGGAAAAAGCAATGAGTTTTCTAAAACCTAGAGCACAAAGCCTGATAATAACAAAATTAGGACTGGTGGTATACTCCTAACTCTAATCTGGTAACTTTCCCATGGAATCATTACTTTTTATCAGAAGAGAGGGAAACTTTTCAGAGAAAGCAACAGTGAGACATTAAGGAATGAGTATCATGGAAAGAGAAGAGGTGCGAGTACTCCCATCTCCTAAGAAAATCTTATAATTTTACTCCTTTTATTTATTTATTTTTTAATTTAAATTCAAGTCAGTTAATGTAAGTGTAGTCATGGCTTCAGGAGTAGAATTTAGTGACCCATCACTTACATATAACAGCCAGTGCTCATCCCAACAAATGCCTTCTTTATACCCATCACCCATTTAACCCATTCCCCACCCACCTCTCCTCCAGCACCCCTCTGTATGGCCTCCCTCTGTTTTTTTTTTTCTTTTTTTAAGATTTTATTCATTTATTTATTTAGAGAGAGAGTATGAGAGGGGAGAAGGTCAGAGGGAGAAGCAGACTCCCCACTGAGCAGGGATCCCGATGTGGGACTTGATCCCGGAATTCCGGGATCATGACCCAAGCCGAAGGCAGTCGTCTAACCAACTGAGCCACCCAGACGCCCCCTCTGTTTTTATCTTATTTTTCTTTCCCTTCTCCTGTGTTCCATCTGTTTTGGTTCTTAAATTCCACGTATGAGTGAAATCATGATCGTTCTTTGTCTGACTTATTTCACTTAGCATAATACACTTCTGTTCCATCCCCATTGTTACAAATGGCCAGCTTTCATTCTTTTTGATGGCTGAGTAATATTCTAATATATATGTATGTATAAACATGCACACCCACAAACACACGCCACGTTTTTTTTTATCCATTCATTGGTCAATGGACATTTGGGCTCTTTCCATAATTTTAGCCACTACTTGTTTCAAACCTTAAAAATAATAATTTCAAACAGTAAATTCATATATCAAAATGTGATTTTTTTGAGAAATAATTTATACATATCATTGTTATCAGTTTAAAGTATATACGATTAACATACATATACGATGAAATTATTAGTACCACAAATAGATTCAGCCAACATCCATTTTCTCATATATAGATACAGTAAAATTCCTTTCTTTAATAACATTATCATATGTTAAATGAGTCTAGTTAGAAACCTCAAGCATTTTTGATCCAAAGGACTTTACTGCTAATTCCCTGCATTTATCTGGCACAGTAGACTTGTTTCGTATCGTGATGGTTTTTATTAATGTTTAACTGTAGGAAGAACAGTTTAATCAAATTTTACTGATATATAAAAATCAGAGTGGGCTGCCTTAGTGTCTTAGTCGGTTGGGTGTCTGACTCTTGGTTTTAGCTCAGGTCATAATCTCACAGTCCTGGGATTGAGCCCCGTTTTCGGCTCTGCACCAATATAGAGTCTGCTTCAGATTCTTTTCCCCCATCCGTCCCACTCACTCTTTCTCTAATAGATACATGAAATCTTTTTTAAAAATCAAAGTTAAAGCTGATAAGAAATGTTAGGTAAAAAACTAATAATAAATATGTTTAGAAATCCATCTAAATTTTGAGGATATCATGAGGTTAGATTATTTTAGTTACTTTAACATTTAAATTCAGCAAACATTTGCATTACCATATACTAATAACTTGGTATTTAAGTCTTGTGGGTTTTTCCTTTATTGGTAACTTATAGATATTTGAGAAGAAGAAAAATATTAACCAGGCCTTTAGTTTTCTAGTTTTGTTCTAACTTTGAAACACTTAAAAATCTGCAAAAGCAAATATAGTTTGCACCATTCTTTTTCCCTTAAGGCACCTCAGTGACTGCATCTGTGCAAAAGAAATATTTAAGACTTCGTTTTATTACAGTTGATATATTTTATCCTGGAATTCTAAATGATCATCATTTAGAAAAAAGTTAGCTAGGGATGCCTGGGTGGCTCATTTGGTTAAGCATCTGCCTTTGGCTTAGGTCATGATCCCAGGGTCCTGGGGTCAAGCCCCGTGTCAGGCTTCTTCCTCAGCGAGTGGGGGTCTGCTTCTCCCTCTCCCTTTGCCCCCCACCTCGTGCTGGAGCTCATGTGCTCTCTTTCTTTCTCTCTCTCTCAAATAAATGAATTAAAAAAAAAAAAAAACTTAGCTACAGTTTCTGAAGTGATACAAAATGACATTAATGAGGTGTATTAGATATAATTTGTAAACAAAATCATCTGTTTATTTTTTCTCTTGCAACTTTTTTTTAGGTGAACAAGGATAGATAAGAACTTATTCTCTCCTAAACTTTAAGATGTCTCCATGTTTCTTACCCTCACCACCATTCTCCATACCACCAGATATATTAGAAATCTTGTCTTCATTTTGTCTTTTTAGGATCTCTTCCACATTCCTCCTTCTTATAAAAGCACAGTAACATTATCCTGGAAACCTGTACAGAAGGTTGAAATTGGGTAAGATACATTTAAAAGAATTGTAAGTGTTCTAATAGTTATGATTTATAAATATGAAAATCTGAATTTAGATGTTATATTTACTATACAGAAGGGTATAGATACAGAAGGGTATCTTACCAGTTAAATAGTCTTAATAAGATGTTAAAATATGAGTATTAGAAGCATGACTTAAAATATAAAGTCTAATTGCAGTGTATATCAAATAAATAGGTACAGAATAACCGTGGAATTTTCAGGGTTGTCTGTACTTCTGTGGCATAGACTTTTGACAAATTTTACAAACTAAGTCATTTGCCCTTAAAATTTTGTAGTCACATGTTCCAGATTATTTTCAAGCCTTGTAAATCCCCTCTGGCATTGTGTGGATTACTAAGGCACAGTTAATTTGATGACCTCAGAATGTTATTTCCTTTTTTTTCTGATGTAACTATTATCTTTGGGATGTCTTTAGTAACTGATACGCTAAATTACAAGGGTTTTAATGGCCTCTGGTAATAGAATTTTTTTATTGCCATTCTTCTTACCATTATAGGCAGAAGAGAGCCAATGAAGATACAACTTCTGGTTCACCACCCAAGAAATCTTCAGCTGGACCAAAAAGGGATGCCAGGCAGATATATAATCCTCCTAGTGGGAAATATAGCAGCAATTTGAGCAACTTTAATTATGGTGAGCGTTTCTGTTTGGGTACAAGCAATATGAGAAATTAGGCAGAAATTGTGTAACAGTTGATTTTAGTTATTAATTATATATAGTCACATATATAATACCTTATTCCACTGACTTCTGAGGTGGCTTGGGAAATGAGAGCTATTGGGGAAAACAAGTTACCCCATTTCTTTCTAACCCTTCCTTATGGGCTCACTAAATAGAGCATGCAGTACTTAGAAAAGAACTTAGAAAAGATAATCTGCCTCTTGTATTCAGAGGAAGGAACAAAAGGAAGGAAGTTGGCATGAACCATCCATTCCTGGTTTTCCCTGTTGTAACTTCAAGGCAAGACATTCTGTGCATTCTCCCTCAGGAGTAGTTACAGCTTCTGGCAGATGTGAGGAAATCAGTAATCTTGGACCTTTTCTGCCTCCTGCTTGTCTTCCATCTTCTGAACTATTTGAAAAGGAAACGTCCTAGAAGTGGAGTCAGATGTTTAAAGTATCATCTGGCAAGGAAGGGGTGTCCCATTGCAGTCTGTCTCCACTGCCCAGAGTGCAGTCTCCCTGTCAGCGTTAGCCATTGGTGCCAGGAGAGCTTCCCACTAGTCCATTGTCTCCCAGTGCTGTGAAGAAGTGAAGTTTATTTCATTTGACTTAGAGCCTGATGGATTCTTTCAAAGAAGAAAGGATGAAATATCACTGAATCAGCTCCTTAATCTTGCTTAAGAAGACAAAGCTTAGGGGAGTCTGGGTGGCTCAGTTGTTAGGCGGCTGCGTTTGGCTCAGGTCATGATCCCAGGGTGCTGGGATCGAGCCCCGAGTCAGGCTCCCTGCCCAGCGGGAAGCCTGCTTCTCCCTCTCCCACTACCCCTGCTTGTGTTCCCTCTCTTGCTCTGTCTTTCTCTGTCAAATAAATAAGATCTTTAAAAAGAAGAAAAAGATAAATTTAGTAATATTTGCAACTGAAAATACTTATTATGACTGGTCTTATTTACTGGTCTGAACTAATTCTTCAGTAATTATTCTTAAAACACATTCTGAAACATAGACTGTCTATAATCATTTCCAGGGTGAGGTAATCGTGACATTAAAGTCATCCTACAATAGCTAGATTCCTTTAATATCTGAGCAAACATTGTAGAAAAGCAGTTTTTAGATTGTGAAATGACCCCTCTACTCCAGTCAGGTTTGGAAGCAAATTAGTGTAGGAAAGATCACTGGAATCTTTTCCTTAATATGTAAATATACATTTCTTAGCCTCTTTTCTTAACTTGAAAAATAGGGACAACACTCTTAAAAATTTCAAATAAGGGGAAAAAAACAGTATTTGTGAAAACATTTTATAAATTGAAAGGCTTCTGCTACCTCATTACAACAACGATAGTCTTCTGTCACTTGTATCATGTAATGTGTCTATGAGAATTATTTTTAAAATCCAATTATTATCTCAAATACCATCTTCATTTTGCTTAAATGAAAAGTAATTGAAAGCAATGACAATGCATAGAGAATTGTATTCCTTGTCACTTGGGCAAGTGAGTTACTCCTGAGTTTCCAGGAGGATTCTGCTGTGTGAACTCACTGGCTGCCTGATGGTGAGAATCAGATGATACAATGCATGTGGAAAAGAGATGTGAAAAATACAAAGCCTTAGTGGTGATTATTTTTCACTGTCGGTAGAAAATCTGAGTCCCTTATAACTACAGTTGTTTATAGTCCTCAAAGTAACAAAGGCAGAACAAGCTTGCCTGTTAATTGTTCTTTTTGTGTCTGATATTACCATACTTTAATATTCCTAAAGGGGTCAACCTTGTTCTTGGGGTGCTAGTCATAAACAGAATTACAAAGCAAACTAAACTCTGACTCTTTTTATTGGAAAGTGGCAGCAAAATTTCTGCTAGCATTTTACATTTTGGAGTTGAATGTTAACAGGTCATAGGTATTTTCACAGTAGCAATTTTAAGAGTTCTTGGCTTTCTTTCACACATTCAGTTGAAAATAGTTCTTGATACTACAGATGGGATTTGGAAGACCTATCTACATCAAGTTTTTTTCCACCTTTTTTGTGTCCTTTCCTTAGGGAACTGACAGTGTGTCCAGAAGAAAGAAGCACATTGCTTTTTTTTTTTTTCCCCTGGGATATCAGTGTTGCCTCAAAATTGGAGAGGAGAACATGTTTTAACGTCACTTAGTAGATAGATTTTCTTAACCACATTTGGCAAAATCGTTGTAATTCCACTTTTCTTTGTCAGTCAAGCTCACATTTTATTTTATCTTTCCAAAAACTGGTTGGATTTTTTCTTTAAAGATCATGTATGCTGAGGGGTTAGGAAATTGACTCTTTTTGGTTACTAGAGAATCAGGTAGTATTAATGTACAGTCTTATTACAGTGAAATAAATAGACTGTTCCAGTTTCATAGGCTGGAACTTATTCATCATAGAAGAAGAGCCAGATTTGTGATTGTTTTTTGAATCCAGGCAGGCTTATGTAGACTTTTTTTTTTCCCTTTTCCAAGTTTATCACTTTACCAACCAAGGTCTTTTATTTGCTTTATATATATGTAGTCAGTTCAGCTTCCTGGTGCATTTTCAGTTGAAGTATTTACAAACACCTGCTCATGTTTGGTTTTCCTTCCTGCATACAGAATTGCCCAGTAATCCAGAAATACTGAACATGCTATATGTTGTGACTTGTATCCTTCCATCTTTTACCTTTTTAGACTGTAAAAATAAAGTATAATTTTAACTGGGAGCAGTGGCTTTTCAAGTTAGTAATGTAAGCTTGAAACCACTGAAAAGATCCGAAAGTGCAGACTGGTCCCTCAGGATGGAGCCCTTCAAAGAAAGAAAATTTGGAGACTTCCTGAACCGTAGAAATGGCTACATCCATTGCAGAGCGAAAAGAAATAGCCAGTATAGAAAAGATAACCATATCGAACAATATCTTCATACAGTGTATGTAATATACTCATTGATGTAGTTGAACAGTTGAGGGGCGCCTGGGTGGCTGAGTCAGTTAAGCGGCTGCCTGCAGCTCAGGTCATGATCCCAGAGTCCTGGGATGGAGCCTCAAATTGGACTCCCTGCTCAGCAGGGAGCCTGCTTCTCCCTCTGCCTCTACCCTCCCCTCCAGCTTGTGTGTGTGTGTGTGTGTGTGTGTGTACATGTACGTGTGTGTATGTACACACGCTCTCACTCTCTCATGAGTAAATAAAATCTTAAAAACAATTGAAAGGGTGTATTTTAGTAGTCACTTAGCTAATAGGTAATAATGATTCCTATGAAGATGTTAATTTGTTTTAAAAAAAGATGTTAATTTGTTAAGTGTGTTAACTGAAAAATGGAAGGTTTTATAATGAGTACAGTAGGGGGGAAATGTGCTGACATCTGCATAGATAAGGCCAAGTCTTAAACAGTCAAAAATGCAAGAGTTACAGCCGACATAAGGGTTGCTATTCTCCCTGTTACAGTCACTGCAAAATTACGGGGAGCATCTTACCCTTAGACCACCTCTGATTTTCTGAGTATGTTCAAGGGGTAATAAACATGGTGGTGTCATTTAAAAGGCTTTCAAACGGATCAACTTAGAAAAATGCGCCCTGACGTGAACGATGACTTTGAATCAGATCCCATTCTATTAAACATAAATATTGGCTAAGTTGGGGAAAGGTCGAGTTAGTTTTCTAACTCATGGTTGCTGGGTGGGGGGGGGGGGGAGGTGGTAAAAAATTACCCAAATAAAGTAATTATATTTCTAGTCATAATGGCAAAAAAAGGGTTGCAATATGGACTTAATAGGAATTTTTCAACCATTCAACATTACAGATCCAAAACAGCAACGCCAGGTGGTTTTTATTGCTCCTAACAGGATTGTTGCAGTGAGGAAGTTTAAAAGTTCAATGAAGAGATTTGACCTCTGGAATTAGAAGTTTGAGGCTCTTAACTTATTTATGTATGATGAAAAGTCCAATCTGTCTGATAACGTCAATCAGTTTTCTTCACTGGAAAGACTCCTTAAAGGAATATTTCTCTGGAGCGATAAAAGAGAGTAACCAGTGAATGAATCAAAGACTCATTCTACTGTATGACACAAGTGACTCGATTTTTCAGCAAAAGATATACTTAGTGTACATCAGTAATCTAAGCACTGTGTACATAATCACCTTTTTGGCAGTACTCTGAGCAGCTCATGTAGCTGATAAAGCAGCGCGAAAAGCTGTTGGCATTTATACCCACATTTTTGTGAGTCCAGGTGCTTGAAATATTATGACCAAAACGGATTGCCTATTCACTGTATTTGAAAGGTATGCTTTTCAGTCTAGCATAATTTTTCAAAATTGATCAGTGATAATTCAAGGTATTTTGCATTCATGGCACTAGCTTTTGAAGGCCAGTGGCTTTTTGTTAATTCCATATCAAGTATAGAAATTTTTATAGTGTAATTATCTTCAGTAGTGATAGCCATCAAAATAAATAACGAAGAATTGTACTTATAACATTGTCACCTTTAAATATCTTGTGTGTTTTAATTGAGTACCTACTCTGAATATATTTGACATCTTGCCATATGTGCTTTAGTGTATGTGTTGCCCTGGTTTTATGTACAGATTGAGTTTACAGACTAACAGAATGCTAGCGCTGCTTTCATAGAGCCTGCTGCTACACACTCAAAGCTACAAGTTACGCTTCTGTGTTTGCTGTACCGTGAAGTCCTGAGCAAGACCTAAACCCTTGTTCGCTTTTTCGTAGAGCAGAGAGGAGCCTTCAGGGGAAGTAGAGGTGGCCGAGGTTGGGGAGCACGAGGAAATCGTAGTCGGGGAAGACTCTACTGAGCAAGACATCACATTCTTCAGCATTGTCATGAGCTTAATAATACTTAAATTCTACTACTCATTGGATTGCCGGGGATGTCCCTTTAAAAGGACTGCTGCCTTCAGCTAAAAACTTAATGTTCTTTATACCTTTGTATGTATGA